TCAAAATCACATATAGTTCAAATTATTAAAGATATGATAACATTTAGGAATTTTGGTTTTTTAATATAATTTAATATTTAGAATTTATAATTAATTTTGTGAACCAAATCCAACTCATCACGGATTCAACATAGGTGAGTTGGGTTCTTAGTGGACCACATTCATTTTGAATCTGTGTCAAAATTTGTAACTTTTTTTAACTTAATTTGACTCGAACATCATGATAAGTCAAATTGATTCATGAATTTTAATCTATTTTGACAATTTCGTTGTTGGTAAATTGTCTCATTCTCCTTTTTCTTCCCGTAGTCAATATGCTTTTTGCTATTATAATCCGTAGATAACAATAATTTATATACAAATTTTATTTTGTGGATAATTTTTTATGAGAAATTTAACATTTTAACATTTATCCAATGCTAAGGTACGCAAAAAAATCTATTTAATCAATCAATTAATAAATTATGGTTAATTTTATTTTTAAGATAATTAATATTTGAAAAGTTAAATTATAACACAACCGTTTGTATTATAAAAAAAGTATTACAGATATAAACTATCGATAGTTATTTATTCACTATACGAAAAGCATATTAGGATAACTTTCTTTGGATTATGTTTAGATTATATTTGGACTTTTTATCTTTTAAGTTTTGGATTATGGGGTGAAACTAAACTTCATTAAATTATGTTTCAATTTTATTTAAATATTGGATGTTGTTATGTTTTAATTTGATTTGTATTAAATATCATTCAATTTGATGAATTATGTTTGAATAAATTAATTTAAATTATTATATATGATTAAATAATATTGTATTAGGTATTATATAGAGCAAAGGGATAAATAATTTTGATTGTATGGATTATTTTTTTCGTACTAATAAATACTTGACAAAATTGGTTTGGAAGTAAATAATGTGTGTGAAATTTTACACATAGGTAATATTAGTAACTAATATATCCAATGTTAATTTATCCAATAATGACGACTTGCATGCCGTGAATATATAACGAAAGATTTCTAATAGCAACAATTTACCTACATAATGTGAGGCCCAATTACCCACTCATGACATCACAACACTCATAGATTCTCTGCATTTCTCATGAATGTTATCATCAATAACGTTTTTCAATGGTTATTTGTCTAGTCTTTGTTTCTTTATCAAATACTTAGTCAAAGTATTGCAACTCTTTTATGTATTATGTGTCAAAATAACATTTTAGCCTTAACTTTCTCAACTATTAAGCATAAAATATACTTATAATCCATTATCATTTCTATATAATCAATATGTTTAGTAATATTAAACATAAAGATCTATGCATGCTCCTTATCCTTAGTGAATATTGATAAGTTGATGTTTTCAATTTTATTTTTATCAGAGAATGAGACATTTAAATGGCCAACCAATTTACAACATCTAGAACTGGGTGAAAACAGTTTGAGCAACGAATTTCTTTCATCTCTGAAGAACCTTCCACATCTTCAATATCTTGATTTAAGCTACAATCAATTAGAAGGAGCTGTAGATATAAGCGGTCAGTATTTTTATTTTCTATTTTATTAAAACATTAAAAAAATTCAGATATTATATTATAATATTTTAGAATTAATAAACATACATACACTTGATTACAAGTCATAATTAATTTCATGTTAAGATAATTAAGATTAAAAATATCCATAAACTACCGTATACATAATAGTTCACATTATAAAATATTGTAAAAAAATACACTTTTATTTAAGTAGATGTGACTCCTTCCCAATATGCATGCTCCTTATTTTTATTTATTGTGATTACAGATAAGTTGACCCTTGTAGAGTAGATAAAATTTGTTTAATTATTGGTAAAAAAAATATGTATTTTTGTATTCTTTTCCTGTGTCACCGTTATCGAACTCATGTTGAACCACTCTTAAATATGGAATTTTATTCTCAATATTCTTCAACCTAAATAGTTATATATATATATATATATTTATTGATTGATTGATTGATTGATTGATTGATTGAGTTTAACACTGATGTGGTAACACTAATGGAGCATTGTCCATGGATGATTTCACACCACGTGATCCGTGGATAAAATTGAGTTGTGGGCATATTTCAACTATTCTTTTTCCTTTCTAAATGATACTTTGCCTATTGGATAGCATATTCTCTCTTTGATGTAGCTTCTTTTCCCTCCAATCTTCCCTTTCTTTATAGAATGTTGAATCAAATGATCCTCCATCAGTACCTAAAGACAAACGCTCCTTTTGAAACAAACTTTCACGAGTCTCAATCTGTTGCAATTTCATACCCAGCTCTGCATTTTTTCTGTTTACCTGACCATCTCTCTCACTGTCTCTTTCTCACTCAAACACTTAGGCTCTCTTAACTTTATGCCAATTTGTTAGCAAATTTGACACTGAATAATTTCTGGTGTATGCCAAAAGGGTTCAAAAGGGAGGATTTTAACTGAGAGGAAATGTTTAAAATTAGAAATGAAGCTCGGATTGGACATTCAGAGTGAAAAGAATATGATTCCATGACTTTTTGGGGGTTGGACCTTCAGTGAACTAATCCAACCTAACAGTGAACTAAATATATTCAAATTTGGTTTAATATAGTAAATTAAACGAATTGATTCATTTGATTATAATTTTTGTTTTCTTTCATTCCAAACAAATTACAATTTTTTTTAATTAAAATCAAAATAAAATTCAATCTAAATACAATTCAAAATGATATTAAATTCTAAATACAATCTAAAATATGTTCAATTCTAAATACAATCCAAAATCACAATACAATTCAAATTATTTATTGATACAAGAACATTAAGGAATTTTGGTTTTTCAATATAATTTAATATTTAGATATTTATGAGTAATTTGGTGAGCCAAATTCAACTCATCACAGATTCAACATATAGGTAAGTTAGATTTTTAGTGGGCCAAATTCATTTTTGATTTGTGCTAAAAGTTGTAAATTTTTTTAATTTAATTTGACTCGAACCCTGAGTGAAGTTGATTCACGAATTTTAATCTATTTTACAGTTTCATTCTTAGGTAAATTATCTCATTCTCCTTTTTCTTCCCGTAGTCAATATGTTTTCTGTTATTATAATCCGTAGATAACAATAATTTATATACTGTGGATAATTTTTTATGAGAAATTTAACATTTGAAGTCACTCTTATTTTAACATTTATCCAATGCTAACGTACGTAAAAGAATCTATTTAATCAATCAATTAATAAATTATGGTTAATTTTATTTTTAAGATAATTAATATTTCAAAAGTTAAATTACAACACAACCCGTTTGTATTATAAAAAAAGTATTACAGATATAAACTATCGATAGTTATTTATTCACTATAAGAAAAGCATATTAGGATAACTATGTTTAGATTATATTTGGACTATTTATCTTTTAAGTTTTGGATTATGGGTGAAACTAAACTTCATTAAAATTATGTTTCAATTTTATTTAAATATTGGATTGTGTTATGTTTTAATTTGATTTGTATTAAATATCATTCAATTTGATGAATTATGTTTGAATAAATTTATTTTAAATTATTATATATGATTAAATAATATTGTATTAGGTATTATATAGAGCAAAGGGATAAATAATTTTGATTGTATGGATTTTTTTTCGTACTAATAAATTAATTGACAAAATTGGTTTTGGAAGTAAATAATGTGTGTGAAATTTTACACATAGGTAATATTAGTAACTAATATATCCAATGTTAATTTATCCAATAATGACGACTTGCATGCCGTGAATAACGAACACAGATTTCTAATAGCAACAATTTACCTACATAATGTGAGGCCCAATTACCCACTCATGACATCACAACACTCATAGATTCTCTGCATTTCTCATGAATGTTATCATCAATAACTGTGTTTTTCAATGGTTATTTGTCTGGTCTTTGTTTCTTTATCAAATACTTAGTCAAAGTATTGCAACTCTTTTATGTATTATGCTT